TCTCGCCGGATCTTCTCAGTGGGTCGCGTTTCCGATCCGGTGGTAGATTCTGCGAAGCACGGTTCTTGCTAGGGTTCATGTTAGCAACGTCGTCAGGTTTGAACCCCGTGACCTCACCTACTAATTAAGGTTACGCTGAAATAACCTCTATAGGCTCTCAGCTTTGGTAGGAATTAAAAAAAAGCTATAATATGTGAACGGGGTGTAGTTGTAACAACAACATATTTATTGCCTTATAAAGAACAACACAAAGAATTATCATTGTATTTTCCTCTATCCATAGAAACCTTGAACTCAATCTACCCAGTCACAACAAGAGCTATAATTATTTTCACGTAATTTTTACGCAAAGATACAATTTAATATGATGTTTGTAATACATTTTCGTATATTTGAATTTCTATCAATGTATTTGTGTAAGGACTCTGCGTCAGAATCAGATGGTTTGTAAGTTCCCTTGCCGGTCAATGTAATAAATAATTATAAATGAAAACTGAATGTCCTTTATATCTCGTATGTGTTTTCAGGTATAGCACAGTAGGAAACCCCAAGCTTAGGGCTTTTGTGTGTGCAAAGCTTATTTCAAACGAAAATCGCGCTTACGACAATACCCGTAACGGAGCTTCTGAATGATGTTACACTGTTCACCACATTACCGAGAGAAATATGTTTTAATTTTCCACAACGCGTCCGGCGTAGGGCAAATATTAGTTTTTATTAAGGTCCGCCTTCCTAGCTACACGAAATTAAACTATACGTTTCGGTGAAATAATGTTAGTAATAATAAAAGGAAATTCTAAGTCCGGTGTGTGCTGTGACTTAGGTATTATTATTTTGAAAGTTCGTGTACTTTGTAAGGAATTTGATGTAAACCGATGTAAGTATCAAATTTTTGATGTTAATTCATGATGTGGTTTTTAAGGCAGTGGGCTATGTGAAAAAACATTAAGGCACACACAGTGCGGGTATTGAAGAAATAAACTATATTGATGAGAAAGTTTTAGCACATAGCCACTTAATATTGAATGTTGTCACTAGGGATGTGACTTGAAGGGAAATTATCGACTACTAAATAATCGAGTTTTCTCTCTTTGAAATAAATCGATTTGTAAACAAAATCGATTAAATAATAATAATAATCGATTTTTGTGTTACTATTCGAAAAGTTACATTTTGGAACGTAAGAATGAAATTACCAAGGCGATATAACTCGAAGCTTATCGAAGCTTATCATCGTAGACGAGATTGACAAAGTCCCTGCTGAACTTGTGATAATTTGGCATTGCCAATTTTGTATTCTAAAATTCACTTACAATTTTATGAGAAGTGTATTAATTACAAAGTCCCTCCTATTTAGACAAACTATAATATGTATTTGCTATCTTTTGAAAGCTGTGCAGTATTCGAAATTTCGGATATTATAATATTTAAAGTACATAAGGCACATTCAACCATAAAATTAGTTTGAAACTAGTCTGCAACTAATAAAATTCTAGGGAAATAAAAAACTTAAAATTTATAATATAAATATGTTTACAAACAATACTATAATCAGAATATTAAAATCCTATTAATGTTTAAGCTCTTTAAAATAAAGAAAAAAACTAAATGCCATATTTTTTTTATTTTTTTTATTGCCCTTGTAGGCAGACGAGCATACGTCCCACCTGATGGTGAGTGGTTAGCGTCGCCCATGGACTTCAGCAATGCCAGGGGCAGAGCCAAGCCGCTGCCTACCGCTTAATACTCTCCACAAGCCTCGTTTGATGAAGGAATGATTGAATTTATGATTACTCCAAGAATCATCGGACGAAGGAATGCTGAGTTTTATTTTGTCCATACAAAGGCATTCCCCTGTTGCCTCCCTGAATAAATAGTACACTAGAACAAACACATTTATACCACACGATATTTATATATTGCCATCTCATTTGATCATCTGGTTGTTGCTTTAATTATGAAACTTCTAAAATTGTAATGGTTTCTAGTTTTTCTGGTTTTCAGAAACCAACATATTTTAACAATTTATACTAAATAAAAGCATAAAAACATAGCTAAAGCACTACAAGCCGTTGTAACTATACTGAGACCTTAGAACTTATATCTCAAGGTGGGTGGCGCATTTACGTTGTAGATGTCTATGGGCTCCAGTAACCACTTAACACCAGGTGGGCTGTGAGCTCGTCCACGAATCTAAGCAATAAAAAAAAACAATACTTTTTTAATAACAAAACCGGTTCAATTTTGAAGGTGAATCTGCAGTTTGACTGCAGTTTGACGAAACATCGATTGAGACTTTACTAAGATATTTCCAGTACTGGTAAAACTTGTAACTATATCTTTCTTACTCCCTTTCTTTCAATTTATTTAAACGAGAAGATGCAACGGCCAGCAATGGAGATGAGGAAACGTATTTTTCAACATGACTATGTCTCCTGTTAAGATCTATACAATGACTCGACAAATGTTGTGAATAGGATGTTTTAGCCCATAATTGTAGAACAGTATACGTTATACTAACATCTTCGCAGAAAGATAATGTCAGTTCTTCGAGTGCATCATTATCTATATTTCATGACCATTCTTGCTTACTATCCTTACAAGAAAAAACAAAGATTCCACTCACTGAACCAAAAGTTATCACTCATACACATCGGCAGTTCCAGCTCAAACTCAACCCAAAATTCGACATTGAGAACGTATCGTTACTTATTATAAATAGAAATGGTGGATAACTAACCGTCAGTCGAAACGTAAAGTTGGTAAACAATAAAACGATTTATTACAGACACACGCGACGAAAACATTAACAATTCAATTTTCTTTGTGACACACTTCGCTGCAGTTATTCCTTCGAGTTTTACAACGTTGGCGATTAAAGCCCTTTAATATGGCGCTTAAATACGATACTAAAATCTAACGAATTGCTTTATGAAAGATGTTTAGAGTTAACGAAAAAAAAACGACATTTTTTTATATATTTAATGTACTATTGAGTGTGTCAATTACATTTCTAATAAAGACGAAAATAACTAAATTTATTTATAAAAATATTTAGTACTACAAATGTTTAATTATTTCTTCATTTAGCCCTCTTTTTAGCACCATTTTTAGTTTGTTTTATTACTCTGTTTGATTGGTGTGAATGCAACCAACGTCAAACATATTCACTCATTATCAACCGATATTTATTAATTAATTGAAGTTTGTATGGACGAGATTGAAGTAGACTTCGGCACTATCAGAAGCACATATTTATCCATCAACCTCGTATTATTAACAAAAACTATCCGATTAGAATACGACACGACATTAGCTCGTGTCGTACATTATAAAGTAGATACGTACAATCAACTACTGCTTCGACTGACTAATAACTTTTTATTGTAAACGCCAAAAAAATAAAAGTTTTTAGTTTACAATCGCCGTGAATAACAAAAATGACACCTATTAATTACTTTGAAAATAAGGCAACATTCTAAATACTATCTTTAAAAATTGAAAACTCGGTTGCAGTTTGTTTGAAGCTAAAGTAATAAATTCGAATACCTGTGTCTAGAAGTTCTCATTCCTCCCCCTCCAGTCTTCAGTATGAATTAGTCAAATGCGGCTCAAGTTTACCTATGTGTAGCTGCGATACTACAAGTCTCAGAACTCGAAGGTAACTCGACTGAATAACAGCCTTGACAGTGTTTGCTGACAAATGTATTTCCATAATTTAAAATTTGTGAGTCGATGATGAGAAACGGTATCGTGGTTTAGGCTCGTGATTATTTAAATCAGATACTTCTGATGTAGTTTGGAATTGGTTTTGGAATTGTTTCCAATATTTTGGTCTGTTTCGGGCCATTTACGGTATCAAAGTGGAGACTGGACTTTTGAATGATCTGAACGCAACTATTTTTTTATTGCTTAGATAGATCGACGAGCTCACGGCCCCGTGGTGTTAAGTGGTTACCGGAGCCCATAGAGATTAATCACGTCAATGCTGCCACCCATCTTGAGTTATGATTTCTAAATCTCAGTTTTTACAGTAAAACGTCTGCCTCTTCAAACTGAAACGCATTATTGCTTCACCGCAGAAATAGGCAGAGTGCCCACCTGCACGGGCTCACTAGAATCCCTACCACCAGCACAAAATACCACACCACCAGTAGCAGTAACTAGAGCGGTCCTCCTCCTTGCGTCGATAATCCTTAATGCTGAGGGTGGTGTGGATAGCAACGTGGACTGAAGTATTGAGAGTGGAGCGTATCTGGTCCGACCAGTGCATTGGACTTGTGCCTCTGGGCCTTCTGTCACATAACTTGCCTGTTATCATCGACGTCACTTGATTTAGAGTCTGTATATTAAATGAGGTGGTAGCTGTCATAAAATATATGTATTCATGTTAGTTTGTGAAGTGTGCAGATATAGAAGTTCCGAACAACAACATTCTAACAACATGTCGGTCTACCAAGGTATCTCACGCGTCCATTGGAAGATCTTTTCAGTGTCGATACCTCGCTACTGAGGTATTACGATATTGCTTAGTTGGGTGGACGAGCTCACAGCCCACCTGGTATTATGTGGTTAATGCATGTAAATGCGGTTAGTGGTGGTAAATGCGCCACCCACCTTGAGATATAAGTTCTAAGGTCTCAAGTACAGTTACAACGGCTACCCGATCCTTCAAACCGAAGCGCATTACAGCTTCACGGCAGAAATAGGCAGGGTGGTGGTACCTACCCGCGCGGTCTCACAAGAGGTCATACCACCAGTAAAGTGTCTACAACACTGGTATCACAGTAAAGCTCATATTCGAAAATAAGTCGATTGAACAGAATGAAAATCAATTCAATTGTTTTTATGTATTCCTCTTACCCTTAGTAATGTTATTAATCTGTATTACGGCCGTTTTCAATAACCTATCTATCCCTAGTTTCGGTTACTAAAGATAGACAAATCTATATTTTTGTCCTTACTTACGTTCCAATAACCTATCGACGGGCAGCAGTTCCTATCGGATTTATCTATCCATCGTCGGGAGGACGGATAGCCTGCTAAAGATAGAACGCTCATACAAATCGTGCTTACTTCCGTTTCAATATGAGTTTTAAGTAACTCTCCGGTAGGCGGCGCTATCTCTAGTATGGGCATTCGCTTATCTGTCAAAATCGGCCGGTTACATGTTTATCTTTCGAAAGTAAATCGCTATAATTTAATAATTGTTTCTCTTCATATTGGCATATTGTAGCAGTGATGATAGTGATATGGAATTATTTCAAATGATAATGGATTGTGATGCAGATAGTGATAGTGAGGCCGATATCATATGGTTAGGAAAATAAAGATCGTCTGAATTACATGGCGAAGATCAATAATTACGAATTTGACTATAGATTTCTGAGCAAAGGTGTTGTGAATGAATTGATTAATTTAATGAGACCATATTTGAGTGTAACGTCAAAAAGGTAAGATAAATTTTAACCATAAAAGTACTCGTTATTACAACTTATATTTGTTTATAGCAATAGCAAAATTATACCTAATTTTTGTTGTGTTACAAAATCACACTCAACAGGAATTCTATAATACTGCTGGATTCCCATGGTGCCCTAAATGACATTCATATACTAATACAATAACCTGGTAGGCTATTTACCTTCATTCTTATTACACACTGATACCTCTACATTTTATATTTGTGTTACAGATTCAAATATAGGAGAGGAATTTAGAAATAGAAAAAGAGTATTTTGAATGTGTAATTTGTGTGCAATGCATCATTGATGTTTCAAAATGTTGTTGCTTGATGGCCTGGGTCTACTCATGATACAACTATAATTAACCATTCCGATTGAAAAGGTATTTCTTATTTATATTACCTTATTTATATTATTATTATTATATTTTTATTTATTTATATTATATATTTAGGTGTTTATATGAATTTAATATGACACTATTATAATAAATTATCTACATATCAAGAGAACATTGATAACAAGGTGGACTTGGAAATTGCTATTTGCTTGCCGATAGAGGCTATCCCCACAACCCTATCTTTTAACGTGATTAATTAACCCACATACTCAATCGGAACGATTTAAAATGAATCACATATTAAAACAAGAAATACTATAGAGAGGTAATCTTTTTTTTTAGTTAAGAGCTTGTTATACTGTATTGTAAAATAATTTAAGCGAATAATGTATAATTTTCAGATGCATTGGTGTTTGTAAAAGAAGACTCCCTGTATATCATTGAAAAGTAGATTAAAACTAGAAAATATGCAAGCTGTTATTATAGCTGCCATGCTGCATAATATCGTCAGAAGTATGAATTTAGAAGAATTAGAATCAGAAATTTCAGTCGCAGATACATTACAGGAAAATAATATAATTGTTCGTAACAATTTTTCAAAACTTACATCTGAAATACAACTATGTACTTATAAATAATTGCTTCCAAAGATAATTTATAAAATAAACTCCAAAGATAATTTGACTATTTTTTATTTTCCAAAATGATAATTACATGGTAGTTAGTACATGCAAGATATTTAATTTAGAATTTGTACATATACTTAAAAAACTATCTAACATAAAATTATTATTGCCTACTTAATTTATGAAATTTAATATTCCTTTTAAGTAATTTTTAATTTTTTAAATTATCTAAATCTAACTTAACTTTTGCTACAACAATCTCCTTTTCTTTATTTTCCAAGTCAAGTCTCTTTTTTGCTATTAGATATTCTGCTAATGCATTGTCCCTATGCTAGCCTTGCATTTCTTTTCTTCCATCTTGTTTCCGCTTGGCTGTAAAAGTGTTAAAAATATTATATGTGACCTACAACAATGTGCATGCTTTATCCAAAATTTCATCTGCAATCCTTACCACCTCCAGCCTGTAACAAAGAGCATAATTATTTCAAATACTACGGCAACCTGAAGAAAAAATCATGTTTATCAATGTGTTATTAGAGACAAACAATCAACTAATTATACTAACCTTACTAAGGTTGTTTCTTATGTTGCCGTAGCGTTCTTTAAGTTTTCCCATTTTAGTCGAAGCTGCGATGGAGTTCGTGGGAAACGACGAATCGACGAATTAAAATCATTTACAAGGGTTTGCCAAGCCTGCTCCTTCAATTTATTGTTTGTGGCATTTGTTGCCTTATTATTGAAATGTTTTTTCGCCGCCACAAGTTCTGCTAGAATCATCGTCTCATCTTTTGTCATGGGTGCTGCCTTTCTTGACTGAAAAAGATATATTTTCTAAACTTGAACTCAAAGTTTTCAAAGTAAAATTATTATTATCAATGTAGTTCATAGATACTTACAGAATTCATTTTATTTCACTGTAGCTCTTTAATTATAAACACACTTAGAATTATAAACGAAAGTTTTAAAGCGTTTTGGAGGTAAGTCATCATCTAATATAGTAGGTAAACAATAGAAAAACAAACAAAAGAAACTGATCACTGCTTATTGGCAAACGGACTGTCAAAACGTTTCGTTTCATAATTTCGACTAGGATAAAAATAGCAATACGTCCAATTTAAAAAAATCTACATATGTTTTTATTACTTTTTGTTATAAACAAATGTGTTTATGATAGTCTACAATATGCTGGTTAAATTATAGTTATAATTTAGAATAAAATAAAATAAGTCTTGATCCTGATGTTGTTTCGTATTTGTAGTAGAACGAAACGTATCAAGAGGCTCGGATAAATCGGAGGGAAGAAGCTATCTACTGTTGGTTAAAGAGAGATAGCACTTATCCGTGATTGTGAAACGCAAACTAAGGATAGATACGCTCTTGCTGATATTCGGAGATAGCTATCTATCCGAAAACTCAGATACGTTATTGAAAACGGCCGTTAGTCAAGCACGGCGCTCTAGTTTGTCGTAGCGCTATGCGACTTGCAGACTACGAGAAAGATGGATGTGACGAATTTGAATTGATGTGTATCTGCAATTCAAAATGGAGTATTTTATGGTTTGCTTTTGGAGCTCATTTAAATCGTCACGTAGCTCTGTCCATTAATTATTGAAATAATACTAAATTTTTGAAGTGTATAATATGTTTATAGTCTATTTGGTATTGACATGAGATTGAAAACACGACTTTTTTATTTTATTGATTAGATTAGGGTGGACGAGCTCACAGCAAACCTGATGTTAAGTGGTTACCGGAGCCCATAGACATCTACAACGTAAATGCGCCACCCACCTTGAGATATAAGTTCCAAGGTCTCAGTATAGTTACAACGGCTGCCCTGCCCTTCAAACCGAAACGCATTACTGCTTCACGGCAGAAATAGTCAGGGTGGTGGTGCCTACCCGCGCGTACTCACAAGAGGTCATTATCTAGTATACTATTATCCAATTACGCATGTCGGTGACGCGAACTACTAAAAAGTTCTAAATAACGCTAAAGAGTTTTCACTTTAATAAAGCTACTAATGTATTATACGTTTCTCGCAACTATTTATCCAAAATCATACGTATTATATTATTCAGAAATGGAAAACTTAATGAATAGTAAATGTCACAGATCGAACGGAGTTTTTCACTTTAACGTGAATGGAACTGTCTGGAAAATGAATAAATTACTTATCTCGGACGACAGACGACTCCTTTTATTATATTCCTAATTAAATACGCTTCTAGGGTCGACTTGGTTAGCCGGGGTGTCTATCATCTGTGTCTGGCTTTAACTCAATTATAGTGAGATGTTTTTTTTTATTGTCTGTGTGAATGAAGCCACAACAAAATAAAGAGCGGACGGTTGGCGTGGTATGGACATGTGATGCGTAGAGAGGAGAGGCATGTGACTAGGAGATGTATGGAAATGGTAGTGCAAGGTAGAGGGGAAAGAGGTCCACCGAAGAAGACATGGATGGAGTGTGTGAATAACGATATGAGAGAGAGAGGAATGAGTGTTGAGATGACGGCTGATAGAAGAGAATGGAAGAGAAAAAATAGTTGTGCTGACCCCACCTAGTGGTTTACTTATTTTACTTAAGTTTAACTTATTTTTTAAGTTAAGAAATACACACATAGCGCAGCGGTTTGGCTGTACTCATACCATTTCTTTTGTCCAGGAACAACAGTGACATTTACCATCAGGTGGGCCATAGATTCGTCTGCCTAAAAAGATAATAAAAAAAGTGTGTGTGTCCGCTCCGACGCACGACTGGAGTTTACTGGATATAAAAAATTAAACGAAACAATACGAGAAATAGTTCTATATTACGACAACACGATACACTACAGATTATTAACAAATTAACGAGACACAAAACAAACGACTAACAAATATATGAAAATACAATAATGAGAGAAACGCGCGATCAGTACGAGGCTTTGTGGCGGACTGCCGGCGCAGCAGCCCGGCGTCACCTGCGATAACGCGGCCGCGCGTTGGCTCCTGATTGGCGCGCGCACGCATCACGCAATCAGGAGCCAATCAGGCGCATAACGCATTTCGTGTGACATGCTAGTACGATTTTGATTGGCGCGCGCACGCATCACGCAATCAGGAGCCAATCAGGCGCATAACGCATTTCGTGTGACATGCTAGTACGATTTTGGTCCCCATAATTTTCATACCCCGGGCCTATATATGTAAATCGATTCTAAAGGAGTAAACTCCAAAAAAGATGTGTGGTGTCGTGGGACACCGGATAGGAACGAAGTTCCTTATTATAAAAATATTAATTTTAAGTTCTATTCGATGTATTAACGAAATAAAACTGGAGGTTTCGCAACAACCCACGGTCATTCGGTAACGTGCGAACTTATTGTGGTACACTTCATTCACGGTTGCTTGCATAAGAATTAGTGTATTGCGCAAACGGACACTCTGAGATCGTGGTCAATGAATGATAAAAAAATATGTTATTTTTTATACGTTATTACAAAGTTAAGTAGTACACTGTGTGCTTTATTAATTTGTACGTTATTACAAAGTTACGTCGTACACTGTGCGCATTACTAATAAAAATCTTACGTTACGGACGTTTTTTCCCGGTTAGGGTACCCCTCTGCATCGTCCCATAAGGAACTTCGTTCCAAAATCAAAACATGACGTACATAGAAGACTATTATAATATTAAGCAGCTTATGCCGATTATAAAGATCTTCAAACGAATTTTCACAAAAAATACCAACAAAAATGGATACTTAATTCTTTTATAGTATCATCGAAGAATTTTACATGGAGGGTTCCAATAACGCTGGCTAACTGGAGGGTAGGCGGCAAAGATAACTGCAGCCCTCTAGTTATGTAAATGTTGTTAAATATTTACGCAGGCCTGTTGTTGCCTACTGATAATTTAGTGCCGTCTCATGTTAAAACATGTTCTTGTTGAAATAGTTCAATGGTTTTGACAGCTATTTGTTAGTAGCTGTATAAATTGAAGCTCTACTGATCCCCGACAAGCATTTTTTTAAGCTTGTAGACTTTAAGCGGTAGGTATATATGTGAATAAACTAAAACCTTAATTTGAATCGTAAGCAGTTTTCATGTGGGAATAAAATGCGAAAAAAAATGTCTATATTTTTACAAAAAAAAAAAAGTGATTAATAACAAAAATAAAACATTTTATCGTAAAAAAGCAAGGTGTAATTTGAGCTCTTTAAACCGTTATTTATTCTTAGTTAAATTTGTAGTTTACATGTAACAAACAGTACATGTAGTTATTACGTGTACATGTAGTTTACATGTTACATGGAACAGGTTTACCTGTGCTTTATATTGTTTTTTGTTATTTTGTTTCGGTTCTAAAAACGGTGTTAATAAAACTTGTGTTATGGAAAAATGAACCTAATCACATAAACACCTCAGTCTGAACGTCACCTTGAGACATTGGATTAATGTGTCAAATTGGATGCATGGTTTTCCACATCGCCGAAAAATCTGTCATGACCACAGCAGCCTGTCATACTGCCCATCTGCCCTACTTCAGAACAGAGGATCTTATGTTTTACTACGATCCACAAATCTTTTGTTATATCCCAATATTCGTGGCTTCATGGGCGGTACTCGTTTGCCCGCACGGAAATTAAAAAATCCTCCAATAACATATATCTAGATGATATACAGCATGACATTCAACAAAAGCTTTATCCCCCAAAGGGTTTTATATTTTGATAAGAAATTCTAAAAATAAATTTCCCTTCCGCCCAAACAGCGATTCTTGGGAAAAAAACTTCCCGAAATATAAATTTAATTGAGAAAACGATCTCTTAATTCTATTTCGGGAATTCAATTAATTTTTGCTCGGAGCATATTTGTTATTTATTTATTTGTGAAAACTCTCAAACGAAATTGTAAAGGGACAATTATCTAACTACTGTTAGGCCTTTGGGTGCCTTAAATAAATAATGTCGGTGCCTGAGGCCAACTCGAGTCGTATTCCATTTCTATTACCCTTACCACTGTCCACGTAAATGTTCTTTTTTTATTATTATTATATTTATTATTTTTAT